ATTACTGACCCTGAGGTGAGAAATGGAGGTGTTCGGTTTCACCAGTCTGCTTGCCGTCTCCTGAGCAAGATCGCCGGTCCAATACACGTAGTTGCAAAGTTTACGATGTCTTTATTTCTTTCGCAAGTTTTTAAGACAGTGGCAACAGTCATATGAACCAAATAAACTTTAAATTTTTATTTTAGCCTCACTAGTCTGTTCCACAGACCGATGGAATTCCTACACATTATGATAAACTAAGTTTAACTTGCCTTTAACCTTTTTATTGCAAAAAGGAAATAAGACAGAAGCTACTCCCACCAGACTTACGTCTTTTGCTCTGATTATATATTACCTTTGTTTGTTCGATAGGGTAACAGCAAAGGAGGAAAAACCTGTTATGATCAAGCAATGGTCTTCAGTTCACCTGACCAAGTGAAAACAATTTTTTTAAGAAAATGGAGCATCAGATGTTTTCAAAAAGAAGAAAAATCTGGAGAGGTGGAACATTTTTGCGTTGTTGTTTACACACGGATTGTCTACTTGTCTTTTTCTTTCGGTTGCGTCAATGCTGAATGTCACGTCGTTGCATTTACTACCTCGGAACTGATCTCTTAAGCATGTTAGTAGTTTGTCACGTTGACAATGCATAAACTTAGCCTTAGTAATGTGCCTTCTTTTGACCTCAAGAAAGGTAGCGGATGCAGAGGGGAAACCTGAATTGTAACCTTTATCGTGCAGAGCGAAGGTTTTATGCTGTGGAGCCTTTGCCACAGCACTCAAAGCGGCAGTAGCCGTGCGCCATTCGGCAATAAAATGAAGCTGTGACACCATTTAACTCCTCTACAAGCTAGGTCGAATCCAATTGAATTGATGCTGCAGACCAGCACCAAAGTGCTGGAAAATTTACAAAGTGAAGTAGTTGACGACAGAAATTTATAATGCCTCACACATTGAGTGATCGGTGACTCCGTAGTCAGGTATCAATTTTGATGAAAGTTGTGGACGGCTCGTAGGTGCGTTATGACTGTTTTGGTGTATTAAATGGAAGAGAACCATGTAATACTCCAATTATTTTTATTAAATCGTACTGGATAATTAGGCACTTACAAGCCAAATTTTAGGTTCTATATGACGGTGGTGTCTCTGAACATCATCACCACTTCGTTTTGCCTCTTCCGTACCTCAAACCTGCTCATTCTGTCAATGCATTATGCATTTGTCTTCTGGAAAGACTTGATGACTATGGACTATTGCTAAGCAAGCATTAAATCGACTTCATTGGTAATGCTTAGTAGGTAAAACGAATCTAAAAGTAACTCAATCAACCACTGCACACAATCAGGCAAAATCGAAACTTTCGATGGACACTGAAGAGGCCTTTCCTGCTTGCTGTATGGTATTATAGGGAGGAGGAGGAAGATAAGTCTAAGCCACCAAAAAAGTATTTATCAAATGATTTGCAGTCCAATCAGGCTAAAAACAAGAAAGGGGACTTAAACTTTAGACCAATAATATCTTTTATTAGAAATATGGGGAGTGCTAACACTCCTGATGTTCCTCTTAGGACGTAACGTTGGTACACTTTCCCACATCAAAGTGAAGTTAGGAGATCTCTACCTTTGAGTTTTTCAGAAAGCAAGAATGTGATTTGGATCGTCACAATTGACCATGGGGTTAAAGGAAGAATTTGCGAAATCACAACATCAGCAAAACTTCGTTCCATTTATTGATGCAGTGGGAATTTTCAAAGACATACTCTTCACTTCAACAAGATCGAAAGAGTAACTAAAAACAAGGGGCTATGAAAATGCTTTTAGGTGAGCACTGTCATACACCCTTGTTGACTCAGTACTCGGCGGCACCTCAACCGAGCGCTTCTGGATGGAATACTCACAATTTGGTTAGTGCCACAGTCGAGGGATCCATGAAATTGCCACAGCTGAGCGAACCTTTTATTACTATTCAAGCTAATAAATATAGTTGCCAGAAAATCGGAACTATAACCTTTAATGAGAAGAGTGCTGATACATAGTTAACAATTAAAAAACGGCAAACAACCGTTTACACGGGTTGAACAGACTGAAGAATGGACACCATCTCAGGCGTGCGCTTTGTCAATGCAATGACAATGCAGTGTCACGGCGCCTCAATCGAGTGTTTGGTTGGAATACTCCAATAATGCCGTCCAAATCTCTTTTCCACAAAACTTGTGAGCCAACAGAATGGAGTCCTGTACTCTAAAGTCGGTTAATTTATTAATAATGATAACCTGGAAGCGATCATGATAATATTTTACGAAGGAATGTTAGCGAAGTGGTGGCTGACTCACGATGCCCTGTACCAAATGGAAAGAGTAGTGTTACTAGCGAGAGGTCCTATAAATCTCTTGTTGCATTTTCACTTTCAAAATCATATGATTGATGGCAGAATGAAAAAGTGTTGATGGAAGACAATGTGGACGTAACGTCAGGCAGTACACTCGCACATTCCTTCCGGCCTAAACAGCCATCGTGTACTTGTGTTTTCCTTATCCCATTCCTCTCACGAACGTTTTGGATTCGTAGTCATGATCTTATTTTTAAAGTGTAAGTTGGGAGAAATTGTTCTCTGAAGATGAATGCTTTTCCCGAAACGGATCACAGAATTTATGATAAGTTGTGTTAATTCCTTTTATAAAAGGCATCTCTAAGCAGGTTTCGAGGTCAGTGAGTGCGGTGATGTTGTAGGTCCCGCATAGAGTATCGTTTGAATCCTCAACACGATATCTTTTCCATGGTACCAATTCCATTATGAAAGTCCTATTGATTGCATAAGAGAGTCAAATCAAATCAAATTTTTGCTTTAAAGCCGTTTTGTAGCAGTGTCCATAAACAACCGAAAATTCACTTTTGATTATTACATAATTCAGAGTCAAAGCCGAAATTCGTTTAGGTTTCGATTCGCATCATCTAGGACAGTTGATAGTGAAACGTTGAAAGAAATGATCCTTTGTATGACATCCGTCCTCCGGGATGCTAATTTTAGATTTATTAAAGTTTAACTTACTGTGTCGATGGTTATTTATAGCGACCCACTTCTACCAGAACTCGTAAACATGGAATGCATAAAAATAAGGCGACGCCATTGAGCTCCCAATTCTCCTTAATGTTGACTGTCGTTTTGAACCTTCTAATAGTTTACTAATGTATAACACACAAGAAACGGTAGGGCAATGGCGTTCTAGAACTCGTTTTCGGTAGTTTAGATTTCTAGGTGAGCATCTTAAATCATCTATCATTACCATGTTCGCAACAGCATCACTTTGAGTGTTATACTTTTAACTTGTAAGTAGAAACACGAAAACGGGTTGAAATATTGATTTTAACCAAGGCCATCTATTAATGTTGGTCATTTTACGAAGTGGCCAATGACAACGAAGATGAAAACTGGGATCTATATTTACCGTTCCGCCTTATGCTATCCTACTCGAATGTATTCCATTGTAAAAAATTTTTCGTGATATGGCGAAGCTAAATGTTGAGAGCACTCGAGAAGGCCCGAATAACACTCCATGTTAATGCTACTGGCGGCGAGCTCCAAACAGGCTAAATGAGTGCTTTACTAAACAAAACCCAAGAGACCAACTGTTGCATTTTGAAAACAGACCATACTTAAAACACTCCAAAACCTCACCAGATGATTGGTTGAAATGTCTACCCAAGCAGTATGCATGTGACTCGTGCTGTTGTGTAGATGGCGTGCGTACGTGTTCTCCGTTCAGTATTGCATGCACGTGCATGCAAGCCTGCCGTTACAGTTAGCAGTGCGCCTGTCCACCAATCAGTGTGAGGAACATGCAGGACTGGCGATCGATAACCATCCTGCCCGTGTGATTGTTTCGCTGCTTGCGCGCCGGTGGCATAAGTTCGGCGAAAAATACGACTTCAGCAGTTAAATTACGTGCGATAATATGATCACGCTTTGAACGTTAGTGATTTGCCTCAATGCGAGAATATTATCGTTGAGTTATAAACTACAATGGGATGGGTCTAGGTGAATCTCGTTAAGATGTGCCTTGTAAATGAATATAATCTTTTTACAATGTAATCTTTCGGCATGTTATAATGTGATTTGTAAAAGTACGGGTTGGCCATGGTGGATCATCCTCAGCTGCCAATGTCACGTCAACCTTATGGTTCCATGCAATTTTAGTAACATGCAAATGTAGACGCATGGATTTGGAGCTCATCATGATATAAAGCTGTTACGGTTTGCGGATAATGGACACAAGGTTGATTGCTGTGGCTAGTTGAACCCGAAGTCATGCCACTCATCTCCTGCCATGATAGTTACAAGTTATTATTTGGAATTAATGAACTAGATTATAACCGATTGCCTTGCCAGTACTTTCAAGTTGACTGAGTGAGTATGCACATTCTTGGCACGGAAGCAAATCCTCCGAAGCGACTTTAACCCCCAAAATTTTAAGATGGTATGAACGCAGAAAATGTTTTCGTGAGGCGACTTCCCACTGACCTGTCAGTCTAACCCGATTCACAGCCCCCGCAGGGGAAGGTGTTTGCATGCGTCTCAGGAATCGCAGTATTACAAGCAGCAAGCCATTTTAGGCCAAATCCAACACCATCACGAAAACGCTTCCATACCAGCTCGAGAATAACCATCACACCACATTATCAAAACTGCCTCAACCAGCCCCTGAACACACCACCGCGGTCAAGCCACGCACAACACTACATCGCAAATAAGTCCTGCCATTGGGTATAGACCAATCGTATGCGTACAAAATATGTGGATTTATTGGGAGGAACCCACTTCGGTAAGAATAGGATTACACGAACAGTCGGTAAAAAATTACCTCGTGTGACAACGAGAATGACAAGGCTGTAGTAGTTGGGAGGAGATAACACGAGAAAAAAACAATCTATACAAGAGGTAAAAGGACAGATGAAAGCATCAGAGTCGTCTTCATCATCACAAAGTCTACACTGTACAAGTTCAGAGGAAAGTTAACTACTCCCCTACTGACGATTGTGAAACAATCGGGGATCGCGAGATGAAGAGGAAGGTGGAGACACAATCGGTGGGGGGATAATGCTGCTGCCACTCATGGAAGGTGGAGAGGAGAGCAACGGACCCGACTTCTGCTCCTGCCACGAAAACTGGGAGGATAAAGGAGGCTGGAAAGGATAAGGGGGAGGGATGCTGCTAGAGGTAGAATTGGGATTGTGATCGCGAGGGCCTTGGAAATTACGCATGTCAGGGTTGTTGAAGGCATCAGAGAAACCGGAGCTGGGTCGATTGAATGCATTGTTATATCTACAAGACAGCATTCGTTACAGCATACAAAATGTATGATGTCGTAGGATGCAACTCACACCTACCGATCGGCGTTAAGGTTTCCCGAGCTGCCAGACCAATCATTTCGATTAACGCGACGCTTCAGCGATCTTTCGTTTGCATTGTTGAGATTTCTACGAGTAGACCAATCCCCGCTGAACCGTTTATCAAGAGTGCTAGAAGAACCCCTATGGGGAGTGCAGTTGCCACTGACGCCTGCAACACTACTGCTAGCGTTAAGATTCTCCGGACGGGCTGCATCACTGCTGTGCCGATGGTGAGAACGGCTGCGATGACGGTCTATTGGCTTATCACTATCCCTACCACTAATGAAATCATCGCGATGTGAGTATTGACTTTCCTGATTTCGGTGCCTATGGCGATGGTGCCGGTGGTCGTGTTCCTTACGATCTTGTGCATCCCGACTTCTTTCGTAGGGCCTAGCGGAGGATGGTTCCTGCTTTACCCACTCACTCTTCCGCGCTACACTATAAGCCTGCTCCAGCTGAAATGCATCTTTTTCAGAGAAATTCTGCACAAATTCCCAGTAAAGATGTCTCCAAGTATGACGCTCTTCTCGGTCCTCGATGTCACCTACCAACGTCCGAATATGCTCACCGATGCCAAGCATCACCCTGTCAAATTTCTCACCTTCGGTAACCCCATGATTCTCAAGAAGTTCCAGTTGCTTAAACAGTTTCTTAATTGGGTGGAGATGCTGTTTACACTTGAGAAAAAGAGAGCCACGCATTTGACGGAACTCTTCCTCCTCCTGCTTCGTAAAAGAAGTAGGATTCCGACTTGTTGAGCTGTGGATGGGTTCATGCTTAACCTTTTCATCTACCAACTTGGCCTTCTTCGCTAACGGTCGATCATCTACATTCTCTACTTTTAAATGCCGTTTCTGAGGAGTCTTCTTTATGCGCAACGGTGGTACAGCTGAAGTTGAAGTCGTGTCAGCATCGCCAACTGCCCCATCAGAACCTGACGAACTGTCGTCAGATTCAACGAACTCTGCCGACTTGGGTTTTATACCGGGTCTTGAAGACTCTTTGGAATGAGTATAGCCTAAAAGACGTTTAGAGTGCTTCTTCTTATGCTCTTTGGAGGACTTATTATGATGACGACGAGGGGCACCTTTCTGAGAGTCCTCACAGCTATCTTTGGCGCAGTGCTTTCTTAACGCCTTGAGCAGATACTCAACCCGTGCGCGAACATGGCTTGCTTGAGGTCGTTCATTTGCTGCCAACGGAAGTAACTTTGAACCAAGACCAAGATCGGCATCCAGCTTTATGGCCTCCCAGTTATCATAGCCGTGTTCGTACACACCAACAAGAAGATGAGCGTCATCTGTAGAACTCCATGGCGTAGACCAATTAACATCCCGAGTAGGAAATGGAAGATCATAGTTTAACCGATCTTCCTTCGAGGTCTTCGGCAGCACCTTATGCAAAATCTCCAAGTGACTTAGACTAAGAAGCAGGGTCCTCGACGGAATTCCTACCTTCCCGTAGTAATACATTGGGCCCTTCTGTTTCGAACTATCCTCATCCTCCGGAGCTGACTCGATTGCAGCCTTGCAGCCATTTATTATTGTTTCCACTATTTCGCGCACCTCATCGTTCGTTCGGGAGGGCAGCTCAGCTTCGGCCATAATCGCCTCTATTCGCTCAAGTGGACGAGCAAACCGCTTCATCGCCCTAACAAGAGCACGCACTTCCTTGTCCGACAGCTGAACGAGTCTCTTCCCATTGCGATCGCTACCAGAAGGGCTGCTGCTCGAGTAATTGTCGTTATCTAGGCCGGCCTGAAAAGTCCTCACCTGTTTCCGCCTTCGAGGCCCCAATTCAAGATCAAGAAGGGCTTCCTGACTCTCCACTTGCTTCAAGTTCTCCCGCATCTCTTCAGGAATGATTTCCGACCAGGGCTTTGATGATTTACCTGAGGAATCAATCTGAACCGGCTTTGCGTCGTCTTGCTCCGATTGATCAAAGGTTACAACATTGAACGTGGATAGGAGAACATTGGCCGGATTATAAGGATCTTCCTCCGCATCAGCATCTCTCGTTTCAGCACGATTTAAAATATCATCGATGTCAACTTCCACCTCAGCAGTTTCTTCATCGTTTTGCTTAAAGATGCTCTCAGCACCGTGGCGTAAAATCTCAGTAAGAACCTGACCTTTCGCGTCAGATTTGCGAGCATTCCCACCACGATTGCCTGCAGAATCCATACGTTGGATAACTAAGTGATCGAGCAGCATTTTCCGTGTGGCACTTTCAATAATCTTCTCTTCAACCGAATCTTTCACAACCAGCCGATAGACGGAGACTTGCTTTGTTTGCCCAATACGATGGGCGCGAGCTTGTGCTTGGATGTCATTCTGAGGGTTCCAATCGGAATCAAAGATAACAACCGTATCAGCTGTCGCAAGGTTTATACCGAGACCACCAGCACGTGTTGACAAGAGAAAACAGAAGTCGGTGGAACCATCAGCGTTAAAGTGATCAAGAGCTTGCTTCCGCAATTCACCACGAATCGATCCATCCAGACGCTGGAAACCCCATCCACGAAACTGCAAGTATTCTGCAATTATGTCCAGCATGCGCACCATCTGGCTAAATATGAGAACACGATGACCCTGGGGTCTAAGCCTTTGCAACAACTTATCAAGGAGCATAAGTTTCCCACTTCCTCTGATGAGATCTCGAAGAGCCTCCCCACTCGACTGAAACTGATCCTCTCCAGCGGGAGGGGCAATAAGGTTTGCGTGATTGCAGCACTTCTTCAGTTCCATCATAATGTTGATGAACGACGCTTTATGGCCATGAGTAACTTTCATGAGACCGTCGTAGTTGCGCGTAAGTATAAGGCGATAAAGTGTTGCTTGTTTCTTAGACATTTCCACTCGAAGAATTCGTTCTGTCTTTGCAGGTAAGGACTGTTCTACATCTTTCTTCACTCGGCGCAACAGAAAGGGCTCAATAGTGCGATGCAAACGGGTGACAGCCTCGTATCCAGCAGACGAAGAAGCCTGTCCTTGAAGGCTGTAGTTATCCTCGAACTCCTCCCAATCGTCGAAATGCCCCGGCATCAGGAAGTGAAGCAGAGACCATAGTTCTTTGAGAGAATTTTGGAGGGGCGTCCCAGTAATCAACAATCTGGTGTTGGTATCGAAGGAGGAGAGAGCTTTGTACAACTGACTGGCATCATTCTTCAACCGATGAGCCTCATCTACCACCAATGCAGCCCACGAAACTTGCCCAAGCCATGACCTATCTTTCAGTAGTATCTCATAAGTAGTCATGCAAATGTTAAACTTAAGCATCTGCTGCCGCCGTCCACCGACTCCGGCCGCTCGCGACCACTCATGCTCACGGATGAACTGGCGCGAAACGTGATCACCTACGTACACGATTAGATTGAGACCTGGCGACCACGACTCGATCTCCTTTTGCCAACTACTGATGGTACTCAAAGGAACAACGATGAGAAAAGGCCCATAGATGCCGTACTCGTGGAAGAGGTAAGATAGGAAACTAACCGCCTGAACAGTCTTTCCCAGACCCATTTCGTCAGCGAGAATGACGCTGTTACCACGAGTCCAGGCATGTGCTATCCAATTAAGACCCTTTAATTGATAATCACGCAAACGCAGATCTGGACTTCCACCTCCAATATAGCTAGGTTGTTCCAAAATACGAGCGAATCGAGGTCGATCCGTAAGCGCTGCATGACGTGAATTAGGCAATGTCGTGGAATTGCACCTTCTATGATAGGCTTCAATTGCTTCTGGAAAGAGGAAGTCAATCACTTGACCACACTCCCATGTGCAGAAACGATAATCGAGTCGACGCCACTTGCACAAGTAGTCTACAGTGCCCTTCTTCTTGTCACGACTATGAGCGACAACCCGATCCACTTCCATCTTCTCTGACAGTATAAGCTCGTTGCGTTCATCTTCGTAAAGCAAGGCCTCCAATTCGTCACGACTAGCCACTTCCTCACGAGCCTTCCTCTCTTCGATCATAGACTGATAGGCACGGAGACGCTTCATCCCATCAACAGGGAAACCTCGATCAGGGCTAGTCAGTGATGCCTCCGTCTCCCATGTAGAATGGATATGGCTCCATGAGCGCCACTTTATAAGGTACTGCATTTCGCCTTTCTCCTTCGCCGGATCGAAGCCCTCGTTTGGGTCCTTCTCCAGACGGGAGTTATATAACGTAGTTGAGTTTCCTGTGGCACCAACGCGACGCACGGCCTGGTTGAGGACTTCCTCAATTACATCAACCTCCTGCTGCCCAGCCTCAGCAACCGTGTATGAGACTTGAGCTGACCGCGAATCATCAACCGACGACTCGTTTGACGAGTGCCCATGATGAGGCGCGTATGACTCCGCGTCTGAGGTGTCCACTTGCCGTGCCCCCTCCAAATTGAAATATCTGTAAAGTACAAAAGTAGTGACTCGATTGGTGGTAATTCTGAGTGCATGAATAAGTTGAACCTGTGTTAGGCAGAAAAGCGGAAGCATGCAGTGCAAGACGATGGATTGATAGACAAATCAGTGAGACAGGATGAATAGAATGATAAAGGCAAGGCGTGCAGGTAGTGTGTGTTCTAACCTTTCGGGCACCTTCCCAGATATCCTTATCAGAGGACCTCGAGGTTTCTGAGGGAGAGCGTACTGGTTTCTGCACACAACAAGTAATTATTATTGTTACATGTATACATAAGCAGAGAACCGTGGAAATGGCAACCAATCGCATAGCGAAGGAACAAAACATGGAGCATAAGTTAAATCTGCAAAATCTAGAAAACCAACCTATTGAGATTCGCTGCCGGCGGACCGCGGTGGGCACGGTTATCGGTTGAACTTCCATTCTGGCGCCGATAAGAAGCCTCATCGTCGGACTCACTCGCATCTTTGAAAGCGCTGGTATAGTTGACCCTACAACCACGTGTCCGACCCGAAATTCTACCAGCCTGATATGTAAGAGTACAGAAGATTGATCATAAAACCAGATTGTGACAGCATAAGGACCTCAGTAATAAGAAGACAACACTAACACGGTAGGACTCCCGGTTGGAACTGGTTTCGGACGAACTCTCGTCCTCCTCTGACTCTGAATCAGAGCCAGATTCCTGTGCTATGGAGGACTGTCGACCTGAAGAATCGTCACGATCGACCACGAGCCGCACCGAAGACTTGCGACCCCTCTCGGAACGCCTTATCCCGTAGAGCTCAGGATCATAATCAAAGTCATCGCGCAGCTAGCGGGGAGGAACGAGAGTTAGTCGAATTATTTCCCACACATGCCATCGCAGGTGGACGTAAAAAAGGACAACCAACCTCCCGTATGTTCTGCTTGCGAGACTTCTCCGACCTGCAGACATAGCTTTGTTCGAAGCTTCCAGAATTATTTGGCGTATCGCCGGCATCATCACTTCTAGGTGGAAGACACCACACGTCAGATGACGTCATCACCATTCCCTCCATGTCGACCTACCCCGTAGCAAGCTGCACGAAAAACCACCAACCACCCAAGACAACGACCCACTTCGCCAACTACCGGTGACAAACCTTTTCACAAGGCAGCTAGACCACATCCCATACAAGCGACATGTTACGCTCCCCACCGAGCTCGCAATCAGACAACCTCGAACACGACTTAGCACTCAAGACAACCGCCTCACGCGACCAGAATACCCAACAGTGACCAGCCACAAAGGACCTTCTAGTACAGACCTACTTGTGAAACACGAAGAATGTGAAAGCACCACTAACGCATCTGCGCCCCTAGGCCCATACCTATCTCCACAACGCCATGAAGGCAGACAAGCAAGGAGTAGCAAATCATTCACGATAGCACGCATGATTACTAGCGCCAGGGTAAGTGATCATTAGACCAACAATAAATTGGAATCGCACCAGTGTAGCGCAAGAATAACCCATTAGTAGCTCCTGAAGGTACAGACCGAGTGTTATCCAGAAAACCACACTATCAAAGTTCGCGGCAGATGCACATTACCTGATGCAAGCTGCACAACACAAAAGATCCGATAAGAAGCACACGAAGTTTTATTTTCATGCAAATACATCGAATAAGGAAATACATCCCGCAGTCCAAAAAAACTACTGTTTTTATAAACCCATCTACTTTAATGACCAGGAACATGGACCCAAAAAGAGCATGCCGACCAAAGTCAGAGACATCAGCACGACCTTTTAGACCATGCAAGAATAACCAAAGGCCAATTTGAGACCACATTAAACTAAAATGATGAGCTACCTAGTGATCGAGGCATACCAAAACTGTCAATGACTACTAGGCTAGTAGAAGGCACCAGAAACACCGAAAAGTAAGGAATCTTAGGAATCAAAAGGAAAAGCCTCTAAACAAAGAGACAAGAGGGCATACCTAGACGACTCACTCAGCCTACCGTAGCGACGTTGCTGATGCCGGAATTCATCCACCATCACTAAAAACAGAGAAAAAGACAATCTCCAGAAACTGTGCAACAAAATAGACGGCTCGCAAGCTGCCATGTTACAAACCGAAGTCCAGTCATCTTTCCTAGCCTATGAGCTGTAAAAGCCCAACAACATAAAAATACGCGCATTCTATGAACGCTTTTTAAAGAAAACAACGAATCTGTACCATCTTTACGGTGGAAAGATCTCTAAACAGCTGGAGAACGTGCGCACGCTCCCGCAACGCTGATTGGAAGCATGGAAGACACACAACACGCGCACACCACCGACAGATTTAAACTGACCTGAATGGGGAAACGGATGGTCAACGTATCCAATATGGCCACGGAAACGATAAATTCTATTGGCTGAAACACAAAGAGAGTGAAACTTAGTATTTTAAAACAATTTAAACAAATTAATATTATTAATTGCTCTGTTACATGCTTTGTAAATTTTTAGTAGACTCAAGCGTTTCAAATAAAAATTATATGATCAACTTTACAAATTGCAACATTTCACGTACGTGTGAACATATTGGAGCCTTCAAGTAAGGCCCACATCGTATACTTACATCGTTAACCCTCATAAGCCCAAACCTCCTTGCGACACGACCATTATCAACCTTTAAAGTCAAGATTTGACCTCAGGAGGGTACGTATATTACCAAGGCCGCTCCCGCTTTAATGATTGCATTTCCTTGGCCGAATGGGCTTCTCTCCACGCAATGCCCAAAAGCCTCGGGTCCCCTCTCTCTTTCGAAATACGTATGCTCTACTCAAGCACTATGCTCTTCACTACCGACAGGGGAGTCTTAGGGAGCTACGCCTGCGGCTTAGCCATACAATGCTTTGATATTTGCTGCAACGGAGGACCACACGCAAGACCGAGAATTGGTACTGCAGTTGCCACCTATGGCGCTTCAGTGATGAACGCAAACCCATACAAAAGACGCAAGTCATAGGAACATTTTTTTGTATTCACCACTTACAAGCTCATCAAATCAACAGCGCTCAAATACCTTGTATAAATCCGGTAGAGATGTGAGCTTTAGAAGAGCAGGAGATTTCTCTTCTTTAGTCGGGAAGCACATAGTATGGGTGGGTAGTAGAACTGTTCGAATTGACGGCAGCAGCACGTGTTCTACAGTCCAACTCCACGAAGTTGAACCTACTTCCCCTCCCACGTCTCCCTCACTCTTTTCCTCCGATTCATTTAGTGAAGAGTCCGAGGAATTTGCCGAAACGGATTCACACCTCTCACCCACTGTCGGCTTCAGTTTCACCGCATCCTTCACTCTTTTAGCATAAAAGCTTGCTGTGATCCGACAAATGCCAGAAAAGCAAGCTCCTTCCTCATTCCAGTTAACCTCTCTAACTAACCGGGCCAGGAATGTAGGAAGATGCCGCATATCTGGAATAAAACTGTAAAAATTACATCAAAAAGTATCATTTCAAATAAAACGTTGGTGCCAACTTACTGATTGAGTAAAAATGGGATTGTGTAGAGTTGCAGGACACCATATCCATCAGTATCCAACTTCATGGAAAAGTAGTCCCACAACATGGCACTCCGCTTTTCAAGAATGGAGCAACCTTTGTCTACGATGGCTGCGATTTTACTTGGCGATGTCGATGAAAAAGCCCTTTTCAATCCTAAACTTAGCAGAACACGGACTGGTGCTGGTGTGGATAACGATATCTAGGAAAGAAGATACTTTACTAAGACGATGCCTATGAATTTTACTGCACAAGTAGAAAAATAGATGGAGAACTATAACACAATGCAGTACCAACTTATCAGCTCAACGTCGTTCCTAACTTGTAGCTGATTACAAAGTGCAGGAAGCTGGAGATAAACACTGGAATAACATTATGAAACTGACGCCTGACTGAGAAGCCCGTAGTCTGCGCCACGGCGTTCTGCCCGCGTCTGCACACTTTGAGTCTGCTAACAAACTAACAACTAATAAAAAAGTCATCCTTCATATTACATCTTCATTAATAGTTTGAAGCTATGACGCAGATTGTTTCGATTGTCATTTCCGCCCATTGCAGACACACTCACCTCTCCATGATTTGCGAAATTGGCCACCATCAATTGGTAGAAAAGCTCTCTCACGAGGGGATGAAGCCGCATGAGAAGCAAGTTTGTGGACTGCTGGACAAGACAGTTGGAGCGACTGACGCAACCCACAAAGACACATTCGCGCAGTAGAGAACGCGCATCTGCAGAGGCTCTGGCCTCTATTGCTTCTCTCATTGTTAACACTGATTCAAGTAACACTGGCCTTCTTGCCTTTTGCAGTCGTAATTCATCTACACAAACATGGGTGAAAACGAATAGAGGTAGCGTACCAGAAAGGGATGTCGTAGACATCGTGACTGTATCGCTAGTCTGTAGGTAGGAAGACCTCGAGACCAGTTCGGCCGATTTGGGAAGAGAGACTTCAGTGTCAGAAATGACATCAGGACTGACTGATCGTGGAATCTGGAGAGATGCGCGAGAAGGATTGAGGAAGGCTTCTAGACGCCGATCACGAGCATCTGTGCGGACCAGTCGCTCGGGTCGATAAGTAGAAGTGGCAAGAAGAGGACTGGGGGAGGAGGTCGCAGTTCGGAACGTTGGGGAAGGGGTGCGAGTGGGAGTGGTAAAGGTTGAACGAGAAAGCGAAAGAGGTGGAGGAGATCCTTGGTCGTCCTGACAATCCTTGAGCAAAAGGGAGCGAAAGAGAATATTCCGAGAACCAGAGGAGCGCTGCAGAGATTGTTCGATGGCATTTTGAATCCCTGCAGCCACTTCATCCTATGGAGGAGAAAATCAAGGGAAATAATGTAAACTTTTCCAAACGCTGTGGGGTTTTATTAGAGAACTAGTAAAGAAAAAGGAAAAAAATTGCATGTGGTAATAGTTGGAATAACAGAAAGGAAAGCCGTGATGAATGCTGCATTACCAGTTTCACTGCGGAAAATCGTATGCAAATGTTACACTGTTAAGGTGCGAGTTACACCACCAAACCACGCCATTAATCTTTTGTCACGAAATCAGAAGAATTGAAAGCGTTTGACTCAAGGAAAATGCTATTATAAACCACCAAGCACTAATTATATTTCCTCTGTAACACTTCGTTGATGTTACCACCTGATGTCTGGGGGTTACTTCAAAATTCTTCCGGCCCTTGTACGGGTGGGCTGGTCTTTGGGCCAGGCTTTGGGTTAAAGCCTTTGCGCTCTCCCTACAATGAATGCATTCAGTTCCACTTAATACCTTCTTCTACTCAGTGAGAAGTCTCAGGACGTCACATCCTCGGGAACAAATAAGGAAGAAAAGCATAAAAAAAGTTGGTTGCAAGTCCTAATGACACGGATGACATTCCTTTTAGTATTATCGATCAGGAGCCCTAACAATTATTTCAAACGCAACAAATAAAGCCATAGCGTTAATTACTACTTATAGTTTATTTCAACGACCGGTAAAAAAACTCAAAAAGGAAAGTCAATTAATAAAAAAAATAACACCTGTTGTGAGCAAATAAAATTAAAGTATGACTGCCAAAAATAAACCAACTTTCTCTGAATAAATTAACTGCTATGATCGCAAAGAAAATTTGGTGCTCTTACTCTAATTGGGCTATGCAAGATAAGAGGAAAGATCAGCGTGCAACAGAAAAGGAGAGACGTTTGGCAGCCCCCTGCGCAAGGTCGGACCCAACTCTCCTTGAGGCGTAAAGTCCACAGAGTGGCGCCTTTTTGGAAGTGAATCGCACAATGCAGCTTGCTGTCTCCTCGCAAGGCAAGCCCAAGCTATAGTACCCACCCTGGGCAAGTGGGTTACACACATTCTAGCCCCCGTTGAAAAATTTTATTTATAACTTATTTTAAGAAGGGTACGAGACAATTGATGACGTACCCAGCACTACTTTAGTAAATTATTGTGCGGTTTTGATTACGACTATTTTGCCATAAATGGATTCAACCTTGTACATCAATCAGAGAATTAAAATCCATTCCACTTCTCACAGCGGCGGAATACGATATCGGAAAATCTTTGCGCTTTGATGACCTGCTGACTTGACGATAAAGTGTTTCGAGGTCAGAATTCGCCAATGCAGAGAGCATGGAGGGGGAGGGGGGGTAAGCTCACACAAGCCCTCATCGAAGTCGATGGTAGGATGCGCCATCCACTCCGCTTTAATGCCTGAATAATGTCTTTTCACATTTGAAGCCGCTCATGTTAAAACGGGGCGGTAATTTTTGGTCGCAAGCGGGGGAGCTCATGTCATGCAGAAATAGCGGTAGGAAACTGATAGGAATAAGGAACATTCCTTCTATTAAAGTCTTCTTTTCGGAACATTAACAATGATGTCCTAGAAAGTGGGCACAAGGGAAGAAGTAAGTTATTCAAATCAAGTAGGGAACCAGAAACATGCCGCACAGCTTCCTAGTGTATACCCTCATGGAAGTGACACGATATTATAAATCCTCCTATGCGTAAATACTAGCACCTAACAGAATCTCCCCTTACCTCCTTCTCGTTATCACATTCATCAAAATACTAGCTAAGAATACCTGAGCTAATGGTGTGCGAAAAACAGCGGAAGAACCATGATTATCAGGCTCCATTTGGTGGAGTGCGTTCTAGACATAGGACGTAAGATGCCATATGATCACCTTTTAAATGATGAGTGGCGATATTCTGAGAAACATCACTCCGCTTTGTCACCTCAAGCGGTATGACTTAATGAGATGACGCATGTATTTACAGACAGGACGTACTTCGTAAAGAAAGTGAACCTGGTTCTTGGTTGGATGCACATTAACGTCCAACGATGCCGTAGGCATTTCCAAACTCAAGTAGGCAAACAAGGAGGCAGCGGAGGAAGTGGCCATGGCTGGGAGTGCGTGGCTAACATAAATCTGAGCAGCTCGGTGTGGTAGAAGAGCCGCGTATGCCGCCTCCACGGCCCTCCTCAAAGAGGCGCATTCAACCAGCCGGTTGTTTATAAAGAGCACTAATTGGACTGACGGCGTGCCCTCTGCGATGAGAATGCAAACAGGTAACAAGGCACGATTGTTAACATCAATATCGGTAGCTCAAAAAACAACCTGAAGTGATTTTGTCCGGGTTGGAAAAAAGCCCCTCGAATTTGACACCTAATTTACCGATTATGAGGCGGACGGAGGCAGAATCGAAGTCCTGATCGTGTGATAGGGGTAAGATGTCACCTGTAACCTTTTCGCCAAATATGGCACGAATAACGTGTACTTTGTCCCAGTCTTTTGAGATTCGAAGGTCTAAGCGCGAAAGGAATGCACACCATTGTAAGTGGATGAAATGAAGGCGATGAGATGAGGGATTCTACTCACCGCCTCCAAGAGACATAGGACCAGTTCCAGGACCCGCTTTGCGGTCGAGTGAACGCAGAAAGAAACCACATTTACCTGCATAGTGGATGCTATACCTAAATGGCCGGTAAAATATACTCAGCTAACAACATACAATAGGACGAGGTCAAAACACAAACCTTGACAGTATATTACATCTAGTTGGTTGGTAAATTTACTTAACGACGAAATTAAAGTATAATACCAATCCTCAGCCATTTATACCTCTTCAGGCGATGGGGAAGTAGGCTGCAGGTGAGCAGTGGCCACTAAGACTGAGAAGAATGCATCAGTCAGGGCTAGTCCCCATTTCTAAGAAGAATGCGTGCAGGTAGGTATTGCAGTAGAGCAGTAGAACAGTAGTGATTGAGAACTAATAACGATACCAAATTCAACTGTGACCACTCAGGCAAAGACTAAATTGAATTGGATTTAAAGATTTTCAGTCCCTTTACAGATCTATTATAAAGGCGGTCTGACTCGACATCTTTTTCATCATTAGACAATATGACAAATAACCTAACACTTCGTCAACATGTCGACACTAATGCTAACAAAACTGTTTCTAGGCTTAAGTGTTGCGCTAGCACGGCGTAACGGGGCGACCGACATCAACAATTGTCCTCAAAGGATAAGATGCCTTTCACTTATCATGCGGCCAGGTAACAACATTTCATAACACTGTTAAAACCCATACCAATTGCAAGGCTACCTCAATGTTCCGGATACTAATCCTGGCAACCATTCTAAAAATAATGAGTAGCAGAACCGCAGAACACACCGCTGCGGCGAGGGACACCGTCTTCACAAATCTCCTCCAACACAAGCAGTTCACAATACCTGGTAACCACCTCGGCAACTCGCATAAATTCCTCCCGTGAGGAACGAAGGGCCTCGCGACGGGAGGGAAGATTGTAGAAGAGGTCTTCAGCTTGGATGCAAGTCCCAGGGTTGCCGGCACAGGCGCAAGGTGTGGGAGTGGAAGCGGAGAGTGCACCTTGACTATACTCTGCACGGTAGGCACAACTCCGACCTGGGGGTCGTGAAGTCACTGTGAGACGAAAGGCCGCGTAGCTTAGGCTGGCCAGCGCCTCACCTCGGAAACCAAATGTTTGCAACTTCGAAAGGCCCTCGAAATTCTGAGGAAAGTACACGCAAAGAAAATGGGTCTAGTCACCATAATGGTGATATGAGCTCACGTTTATGCTATTTGTAGTCATTTCCTCAATCAGTTTAAGAATGTATTGGCCTTATCTTAAAACAACATAGCATTTAGGCTTCAGCGACAGCCTAGCTCCACGAGAAGAGGGGACGAGTCACCTGAAGTTTGCTAGTTGTAAAGCGATGGCAGAGGATTGGTAAATCGCTAGGGTTAATACCGTGACCGTCGTCCTGTACTTGAATCATCTTCAATCCACCTCCACGAAGGTTAATCTGAAGGTTGGGAAATGAAAAAAAATGTCAACGGTAATCATAGGCAACATTATGCCACTAAGACGATAGTATTAAGCCTTTACTGCACTACCAATACTTATTCTCCCAGCTCCCTTGTTTAATTCAACAAATATGAATAAAACGGAGGGGGAGCCTGATCGCATTCAAAATGCGTTGCTTTGAACGCAAGAGAAGAACGGATTACTGTTTTAGGATAGTGCAGACTAGAATACGTGTTCCAATGAAAGACAAGAGTATGAGCAAACTACCGATCAGATTGGATGATTTTGAATCATAGTTTGTAGAAAGTCTGTTCGGATTTGGTGACAAAGAGTTCACCCAAATCAATAGTAAAAGCGCTGCAAAGGTTATCAAACTTTCAATTTCCCAGATCTTAGAAGTAAAGAGATAAATAGTAGTTTTGAGTCATATTTCACAGACTCACATCACAAAGGGAATAATTTGGCTAAAAGAAATTGCACACATATTTAATGACTTTAAAATTATGGAGGATTGGTATATCCAGCTGCCAATCCCAGGGCGCTCTCATGTTGATCCACACCACTCACCTGGATCATGGTGCTATCGGCATCGAGGCTATTCTCTATCAGTTCCTTAACAGCGTTGCAGGGACGCTGGATGACCTCACCAGCGGCGATTTTGTTTACTACGTCATCAGGTAGAGCCTGAATCCGTGACGACGTTAGTTGTGATTCTGTCTCTGTGGCATTCATCTATGCAAGTAACTACAAATAAGCGTCCAAAAAAGGAAATTTGGAAGAATATTGGGACGTTCAGGAGGTGCATAGCGTGACAAATAACTGTTCAGACCAAGCCATTCGGTACCATCGAAAACCGGCAAAATTTTGACCTATAAACCTACAGGAGGGTGGTGGGTGACCTAAAAAAGACGGTGCGGATGAAGGTGGAGGGTGTTCACTATTTACAGAAAAATAACGAAAAACGCCTCACAACAGGTGATCTGAATAACATACATCCTAAGAGTATGTAATCGGCTAACGCACGAAAATAACGGGACCAGAGTCCCCACATTGTTTAACATCAACCAAACTAAGGAAGCAACGAGCCCTGCATCTATGCGTCAAAAGATTTGCCCATTTATCACCATGTCGAAAAGTCGTTTAGATCCACCATGGCGCCTCTTCCAAGGATGACTGGACAATGTCACAACATTACGCACAGAGTGAGACGACACATGGGAACGCCATCAATATGAAAAAAACAAGGTCTTCCTGCGAAGAAGTCTAGAATACATACACAGAGGCAGAAACAATACTTTGACATGTCCCGAAACAAAGCAAGAGAAGGAACTGCGCCAGTTTGAATCATTTAATGCAAAGAGAGCGAACAGTCCATACCTACAGTTAAATCAAAATAATGAATAACAAGTCTATACGAATCCAAAGCTTGGCAAGTCCATGAGTCAGTCAATAACAAAAGCATATACGCCTTTTGTCTAACCATAAGAAGGTGAGCAGTTGAAAGACTAAGAATCCATCATCGTTTTGATCATTGCTGGGTGAAATCAACACATCGACGAAATTCCAAGATCCAACTCCAAACCTGTAGCACGTATCACGTCTAAATCGAATTAGAACTGGAAGTGATGCTAAGTCGACAGCCAGCAGTTGAGGTAGATGCAAAATAGCAATACTCAATAAGGACTGGAGGTTTGAAGGAAAATGAGTCTTTGTAAGCCGACAACTGCCCACTTAGGATAAGGTAGAATGATCCATAATGAGAATGGAAGTTCCATGATGCGCAGAGGAAACGTCACCTAGCGTATGCCGGCATAAAAAATAAACCGGGACTTTCGAAAGATTAAAAAGGAACCATTACGTTAGTACGGCGATATAAATAAACACAGGTTCCAAATGACATTTGCAAATGAGTCCAATACCTAGAACTTTTATTACGGCATAATATTCACAATAAATATTGGCACATTTTACTCGAAAGAAGTTGTTGTTCCAAAAGAATGAAATTTAAGGCGGCGACATATTAATACGATTGTTAAAAAGGATTTGCTGATTATTGAGGCTGCTGCAATACAGCCCAAGACTAAACTGATGTGTTGCCACAAAATCCGTTTACGGAAGGTAAAAATGGTGGATTGCTGATTTCTTCGACGTATCGTACTTTATAGCATGCATCTTCTCTCCACGCGGTACAATCATGGGAAATAGTCTTGATCTGTTGTAGCTCCCGAAGACTTCCCATTAGGTGTAATGCTTTGTTTATGGACTACATGACGTTTGGCTGGCCCTTGTACTCGTGGGCTGGCCTTCGGGCCATGCTCAGGTCCATTTACTCTGTTTTTTGGGATACCTGTATTCAGCCTCATTTTCTGCCACCCAGTAGGAAATCTTCGGACGCTACACCAGGTATAAAGGAGCATTTAGTTAGGCTAAATATATGTATCTTCAGCAGATAATAAGGGACTTGACGTTGGCTTAACCCGAGATCCAGCTCACGAGTACAAAAGCAAGACAAAACTCAAGTACACCGCTTGACAACAGGTCACCGCGCATGCAAAGTATTAGTGCCGATATAAAGTGGGTTTTGAAATCCTACCTGATGGGAAGAGTTTACTTCAAGCGTGACGTGTAGGAACTGCCAGCCTATCCTCATGCTCTTCAACCACGGACTTCAAGAGAGGGTTAGTTGCAGTAGATTTATTAGGCATTGATTACAGGAAGAATGGGGACAGGAGTACAGATTAGTCGAATAGTAGATATCACCCGAAGGGGTATTTCGCACGGTCCTCACGCACGGGATTTGCGTTACGAATTGGTTTCTGCCGCCGTCCTATAAGGGTCAACTTAAACACTAGTATATATTACACGGCCTATACAAATTAATTTTGCGTTGCGACTTAAAACTGCCCATTAAGCCTAAGAAGATACTGAGCACTTGTAATCGGGGACAAGGGAAGAGTATAGGCTTTGGCTTAACCCGGAGGACAGCCCACACAGCCAAGTGCAAACTGACTACCAGAAGTTCGGCCGTCAATTTAGGGTATGTCTGGCCCTTGCACTCGTGGACTGGCCTTCGGGCCATGCTCAGGTCCTTGTTCTGTTTTCTTCGGAATACATTTATTCAGCCCCACTCACTGCCTTCCTCCACCCCATGGGAAATCTCGGGATAAAGGTACAGGCGAAAAAGGGACGTGAATTGAAACGGGCGCATTTACCTTGATGACGGAGGATCCCTGGACCCTTCACAACGAAAGGGGTTGAGACTGACGTCTGCATTTGGTTTCACCTTATTCCCGTGTTCCACAAACAAGCTATTGACAACTGAAGTGACACCGCCGTGAAATATCTGGGAAAGTTTCGTGTGGGAATTTTTCATGCAGAACCCGTGTTTAGGTGTCGGAAATGACACAACGGATCTCCTCCCATACGGGACAGTGGCCCGTCCCCTTATCCCTGCAACATATCTGTTGTAAACCAGAGTTCCACCGTGTATTCCTGGGAGCAATTGATGGTCGGAGGATGTAGGGGTCCCCGAACCTGGTTGTCAGACTGAGCGAAACTCCAGATCCAGTTGAAGCTACCGAGAAGATCAGATACGGTTCCTCGCTCTCGCGTTGTCTGTCGACTGGCGCGGTTGACACGTGGATGCTTTCTTGTAGTACCGAATATGTTGTGATGGCTGGAGCAGGAGGTGTACCAAAGAGGACCGTTGAGGACGTTGCTCAAAAGAAGAGAGGAGCAATGTAATGCTTTGTTTATGTGACTATTTGACATCTGGCGGACACTTTTAGAACTTATCTGGGCCCTGTACACGTAAGCTGGCCTTCGGGCCACGCTCAGGCCCCATTTCTCCTATTATTCTCGGAATACATATATTCACACCCACTTATGCCTTCTACTACCCCCTTGGATGCCTCGGGAAGCTACAGTCTGGTCCTTGTACCCGTGGATTGGCCTTCGAGCCACGCTCAGACCCAGATGCGTTGGCCCTCTTTGAATACATGTATCCAGCTTTACTTGCTACCTTCTTCCACCCGGTAAGAAGTCTTAGAGCGCTATAACAAAGCCAAATACTTGTCGACTTTTATTCAATACATGTAGTTAGCCCTGCTAAATGCTCATTCCACCTAAATTATAGGCGTAAAGTACTACGACTGTTATCAGGACTGCTCATCGTCTAAATGGGCCTCAGGGAAAACACCAGGTCTGTTTGGCGAATTGCGTGCACATACACCTACTGAATGGAGTATAATCACATTGTACCGTTTGCTTTGCCCTTCTGATTAAACCATCGATTTTGCTCCGCTGCCTCAGTAAAGCAGCGCATTTCTTCTAATATATGAAAGACAGACACTCAAAAAAGTCATACGACATGACAGATCCCATAAAGTAACTTTAAGGCATTCAAGCAAATCCAAATTGCCTAATTGCATGTTCTATACTTAGTAATTAAATCGGTATAGTCTATAAGCACAGTCCAGAAAAATTGCCACTTACAATCCCTCGTGCTGTAGAATAAGAAGGCACCACAGTTTACTTTTTACTTCATCTTAAAGCATTGGGCCTCAGAAAACTTAATAATTGTTTATTCCTGCCGTCATTACTTAAGTAACTTTTAATGGTGTTTAGATTGGTTCAAGGTTGATCGCCTTTAATTTACACGAAAAATGCTTATCGAGGTGGAATTACTTGATGAGTCTTTTTTGCAAGTAGAATTTCAGGTAAAGCTTTGGTAATTTCATCGGTAGGATTTCAACGTTAACTCTTTTTTGAATGCTATCCTTATTTTTTTACGGATACCTGATTTTTCGGGACTTGGGGTAAACTATATTGATACTGAGTAAGTTTCGAATCGTTTCCAAGAGTCAGTGGTCATTACATGTGGCTTCCTTTCGAAGGGACATTTTATGAGATTGACTTCTACAAGAAGCTACCAATTATTTTGTTGTTTTTGCGAATTAGGCAAGCATCTTCTCTTACTCAAAATCTTTTAGATTTTTTGCATCAAATATCTTAAGAATTTGTCCAGTTGAATCAGTCTTTCAGTATTTTCTTTATGGAGTTGCCAGTTTGGCCAAAGTAAGGTGGCTTTGAGTGTTTGAACCTTTTAGTTGGAGCTACCAAAATCTGTTCTAGACCAGCTCATTCGGATTAAGACGTTTGTTCTTACTGGTTCACGAAGGTACACCATACTTTTCTGATCTGACTTTATAGCTACATTGCGCCTTTGATGGAACATGATAAGCAGATAAGACTTGGCATTTTACGTGGATTTTCTGATTCGGATCTCACGTGCAGAGGTGAAGCTTTGTTGAGGTAAAGAGTTTGCAATCTCATCGAGGCTTAAAAAAGATTCCTTGAGTTTCTTTACGAAATTCCGTGTTTTAATGGACATTTTTACGAGTTCGAAAATGTTGAGGAGGAGAAGGTTTACATAATTGTCATTCTGCCCGCGGGTTTGAGAAGATATCAAGTACTAAAACAAACTCATGATGTTAGCGAGGATACTCTTATACCGTGGAAGAAGATTCGATCTGTATTTGTGGAGGATAATTTCCTATCCGTCGA